TTACATGTAACATTTTGGAATTTTCCCTCTGACCTGGTGTCCATCATATGATATTGGTGAAATTAGGCTGTAGGCTATTCTCTGTTTTGACTGTCACACCGTCAAAAATAAAAATTGAAACTATTCAATACAGGAGGTCTAGAATCTTGGAGATGAAAGATGATAAATACGAGTATGAAAAAAGCCTTGCCAAGAGTCAGGTCTGTGCAATATTTCATGATGCGACGTACTCTGTACTCAGAAAAATGTTTTGTCCAAAGTTCAAAGCTTTACATGGAGACGCCATTTTGATATCGATCCCTTTGAGGGGCACAGAAATTAATAGGGCGTTTCTACAAAAGTAAGAATTCATTGCTTCAGGGCAGGGGGGGGGGGGCCCACGACTCCAATAGCGCTCGGTACTTGTTTCGTGTACCTATGATCCACCGATTTATGACATCACATCCGGTTGCAGAGTTGCTGCTCTGTTTTCGCGCGATGCACCAAGATGGACGCCCGATGCCATTTGGTTTTCTCGTTATTTTCACCCACAGGCTAATGGAATTATGTATCTTGAATGCCGAGAATCTTGAGAAGTTATCTAGCCGGCCTTTCAAGCAAATTTCATGACCAAACAAAGAAGTTTTAGTATTATTTTAACGATAAATATCATGCAGCTGCGGGGAATGTCATGGCGAGTCTTGAGATGTTTTAAAACCAGTGTCGTTAACGTTTTGCGGCTTTTGCGGCCTCTGATTTAGAGAAGGCATCAAACAAAATATAATTTCCTGAGCGGAAAAGAATGGAAAAAACGCTGATGGCCACAGTTTAAAGTGTTCACCGCTGGAAGGCTGTATCACGCCCCGTAAAGTTGCAAAAACTTCTACTCAACTGCATGGTTTTGAGGGATGTCATGGCGAAGTCTTTTGCTCTTTGTAATCGAGCGTCACTCAAGAGTTTGGCTTTTGCGGCTTCTGATTCATCGAAGTCATCATTCAAAATTGCCTATCCTGAGCGGAATGGATTGGGCAAAACGCCGGTGGTCATAGTTTAAAGTGTCAACTGCTTGAAGGCGTTATCACTGGACGTAAAGTTGCTGAAAGCTCTACCCAACTGTCCTGTCATGGCGAGTCTTTCGCTGTTTCAAAACGAGTGTCCGCTCAAAGGGTTGGCCGTTGTAGCTTCTGATTTACTGAGATTGTCAAACAAAATAGCCTATCCTGAGTGGAATAGAATGGAGAAAAAGCTGATGGTCACAGTTTAGAGTGTTGATTGCTGGAAGGTTTTATCACTCGTCGTAAAGTTGCTCAAAGCTCTTCTCGACTGTACGGTTTGAGCAATGTAATGGTGAGTCTTTCTCGGTGTCTAATCGAGCGTCACTCAAGATTTTAGCTTTTGCATCTTCTCATTCTCCGAAGTCATCAATCAAAATACCCAATCCTGAGCGAAGTACCGTGGAGAAAAAGCCTATGGTCACAGTTACAGTGTTAACAGCTGGAAGGCTTTGCCAGTTGACGTAAAGTTGCTGGAAGCTCTACTCAACTGACTTCGAAACGGTCACATGTTGCGAGCTTCTGGAAGGTTAGTGTTGGGTTTTTAGCATTTAAAGATTTTTTAGCCTTTGAAGATTTATGTTTAGAACAAGAGTTAAGCCCAAAAGTAGTCCAATTTTTCATTATCTGAGAGAAATCAAGAAAGTTTGTGCCCTTCCTTTTTTTCTAAGCTTGCAAGTGTAACGTACATGAAAAGAAACCCTTATGCACTACTAGTCATATTTTTAAAATGACTAGTTTGAAATTACTCCTTATCTTAACTGATAACTACAACACTTATTTAAAAATGAATCGCTCCCGAACATGTGTTGATTGGTTCTTGACCTTTAAAGCTAAAAAAACAAACAAGTACGACTTACAGTGATTATAGTTATGAAATTAATTAGTAAAGTAAAAAAGAGTGAAATTTATAAAGTGAAAAAACAAACTGCTGGTTTAACTGTTTTATTTAGAGGTTTGAAGTTCTGGAGGGATCAATAGAGGTGTAATATGAGACTCAATAAGAGGTCTAGTTACTTTAGAACACGTTAGAAGAAATGTATAAGTTTTTCCTGCAGCAAAACATATTTTGGCTTGGTAATTATTACTTGTAATTCTTGATGTAAATTGCATTTTATGAATTATTAATAAGTTTCAGTTAGGGTCATTCATAATGCTGTACTGCACCTTATTTTATTTGACGATTATCTAAGGTATAAAAAATGAATTTTGTGTATTTTTAAAGACTTGAATATAAACTTACTTTTGAATTTATAAACAATATATATTTAAAACCTACACTGTAAGTCTGGTTGTCAGGGTAGCCTGTGTTGCAGACATAATCTATTGCCAGTTAGTAACATCTGCAAAGCCGTGCCAATATTCTGGGCTCCCAATCCCAATGTGTTTCGATATTCCCTTCAATAATGGTATTTTTAACAGGCCAATCATAGCACATATTCAAGTGCTCGTTTACAGGTGGGCCAGGGGGTGCCCACAACCAGGATTTCAGTGCTCTCTCACAGGGGGACTTAACCAGAAGTTTAGTTCTGTCTGTGGCACAGGCTAAGTCCTCTGAGCATTAATGTTTAAATTATGTATTTTATTTTGCTTAGCTGGGAAGACAAAAATAGATGACAGAAGAGCACAAACAAGAGAATATCAAGAAGTATTAAAAAGTATATCTACCACTCAACTCGTAAAGAGAGATAAAAGTCAATGAGGACAAAAATGTTGTTAATAAATGTTGAGTACAACTCACTGTCAAATATTAAAGTTGAAAGGAAGGAAGAATGCTGACATTTCAAGGAGTACACTTTTCTGGTTTACAGAAAATCTGCAGCAACAGAAGACACTGAAATCATGTTGAGCTGGTTCAGGATGTCAATTCTGTTTCGATGGAATCCTCTGACAGTGTCTAGGCCAGTGTACAGTAGCGTGCTTTGAAGCTGGTCCTTGGTAAGACATTTCCTGACTTTACATTCCAACTCTCTTTCAAGGACCTCAAGGATAAGTGTCTGTTTCCCTGACATTCACTTTCGGCTTGTCAGGGATCAGCAATATTTAACTAGACAACTGTGTTAACTGTAGTTTTTTTGGTAAGACTTAAAAAACTTCACAGGAAAGACTGAAACTAATGATCTTGCACTAGGAAGCTTTGAAGAAATCAAGGTTTCTCAGGGGGGAGGGGGTGTGCAGCACTGTCTGCTGCACATATTTCCCTTGGAGATAAGAAGGCAAACACCCTAGATGCAACTATAGGAAACCAAACTAAGCTTGAATTTCATAGAGAGTATTCACTCACGTGGCTTGCATCTATGCAAATTTATTGGAACAAAAGAAATTATTTGCATAAGAAAAGAGTTCAACTCCCACAGGATTAGTTTGGGACACCAACATGGCCGCCGTGACGTCATGTGCATACTCTCTATACTTCAATCAGGTTCGCATGTTTATTTTCCATCCCTAAGCATTCTGTTCCTCCCGTGGAAAGGAGTTGGTGGTTGTGTTATGACAACTTCATCCCTTAGTGTTCTTCATCCTTCAATTAATCAGTTAGAGGAAAGGATTGTTAATATGATCCTGATTAGGAGAAGAAAGCTTTCTATTAAAGGCACCATGGTCTAGAAGACTAAATGTAAATTCCCTATCTGACCTCATTGACATGGAGAAACAAAAAAGGGATTGGCTGACACCCAGCATAGTGATGTGCAGTATTAAGCTCAACAAGGATACAGGAAAAATCCACAACTAAGAAACTGGTTTTTAAGAACCTGTCAGGCTAATTTTCCAGCTAGGCTGTCTTTATAAGAGCACTCAAATTTGAAACAGGTTATTAATCATAACCATTACAATTTCCTCAAATTTGATTGGTGCATTAACTGCTTTATTTTTCTTTAATCATTGTGTATGGTTGTAATCAGACAGTTGGCTGTAGTCGGACAGTTGCCTGAAATCAGACAATTACATTAGCCAATCATATTAAGTGCACTCAGCTAAATCCACCAATCACAGAAGTTATTACAATAACCATAGCAACAATCACTTACCAAAACAAACTGGGGATTAATCCAAAATGGATGAATATGCAACATATGGGCAGTGTCTCCTCCAGTAATATTTTCCCTTATTTTGGACATTTAGTATGAACAAATGCTATTTGTCCAAAAAGGAATGCATATATTTTCTTGGAAATTGTAACAGTTACAGGACTTTGTTTTGTCCAATTCAATCTGTAATCATACTCATAAGTAAACAAATCCGACTCCTGCTTTGTGGTTGTCCAATTTTGTAACACGTGTATGATTACAGACTGAATTGGACTCCACTCAGTCCTATTACCATTATTTATAAAATCTCTTAGAAAAAACTTCTGCACAGTGTACACTTGGGAAAGTAAGATAAGTCAACATACAGGGTCCTCTTTTGACACATAGGTGTCTAATAATATTTATCATTTAATACTCCGACTGCAATGCAATGGTATACAGGTTTTACATATACTAAGGAAAGAGCTGAATGCCACTAAATACTTTTAGCTCAAAGCTACAAAGTATTTTTTTTTTCAGAAAATAAGGACCTATTTGAGACTGAACCTAAATAGCCTAAATCTGTGCTAATTGGTTTTTATGTAAGAACCTGAATTGTTTAGGCTAACTTGGGAAAATACAGGTTCTTAGTTGCAGGTTTTTACTAGTAATTAAATTTGATGGAAAAAGGATTATCAAAAATTAACATAGCGAGATGAGCTTATTTCCAATCCATCTTTCAGACCTGCAGTTTATTTAAGGCTGTCTTATAAAGGAACAACAAGAACAACATGTGCTTTTTGTCAGCTTTAATGAATTCCAGACTATTTAAATGAATTAAAATCCTCTTAACAGATGGAATAGTAAAATGTTAATGAATAAATCCTTTCATCAAACTGTCTTCTGCTTTCCTCTTGCCAAACCATCTTTCCCTACAGAGGAGCAAAGGTTGTAGCAAATATCAGAAAAATAAAACAAAGACAAGAGGCTACACCTGAAACCCCTCTTTGCTGTTACTTTAACACCCAGGGAGAAGGTTGTAGTACTTCTATACAGGTATGTGCCATGGAATAGGAGGTGGGTAATTTGAGATGATCAGTCTTTATGGTACACTACTTGGCTTGGCTTTCTGATCCTTTGGTAGGGTTCCTTTGTAAAATTATTCTAGCTCATCGTCAGTACATAAACTTCAGGGATTTCAAAATGTTTTAAAGTATCTGGAGGCTGGGGGGGGGGGGGGGAGGGGACTACAGAATTGCTGGCAACATACAATCAAGTAGCCGATGGAACTCCAGTGGTCACCAGTTTGTTTTGAAACCACTGAAACCTCTGTTTAAAACTGAAGATACATTGATGGGATCAAGATATGAACTTGAGCCTAGAGCTACTGAACAATAAAAAAATACTCTTTTTATGCAAATCAAGTTGTTTGAAGATTGAAATAGGAGTGTAAACACTTTTTGACACAAAAATGACATTTATAATTATCTACATTTACCCAATATTTCCTAGACCTTCACTTGTTGGGGGATTGTGTATTAAAACAACTCGGAACATTGCATTGAAAGCCTGTTGTCAAGGATACAACCAAGAAGAGATGGTATTTACAACATACCTAGACTGTATTTTTCAGTAGATACTGGAAAAGAATCAAGAATGCATTGTGAATCTAAGCATTAAGATTTTGAGCCAAATACAGGATCAAAAGATGTTAGTCAATAAAAAGGAATGTGGACATTTTTTGGCAAAAAGGAAATCAATACAGCTTGAATGTCTCAGGGCTGGTTTGCATGTTTCTAAAATTCATACATGTAATTTATTGATAATATTTTGATGTTTCTTTTTTTAGAACAATAATAATATCATTGATCAATCAAGTAAAGTAGGTGGATAAAAGTTCAGTATTTCCTTTAACACTAGAAGAGAAACTGTTGTATACATACTAATAATTTATAAACAGCTGTATATCGTTATTATTGAGGTTCAATTTTATCCCTGGATAATTTTACTTTTCTTTGTGTCATACTCATTATCATACATTTTCATACCCCAAAAAACAGGAAAAATTTAAATTGAAGTATAAAGAAAAAATAATAAATATACCGTTCATGTATGGCCAAAAGAAAAAAAATGATCACTGGCTCACTCAAAGCTGCACTGGGTGACTGTTTCTCCTAAAAAGGTTTGAACTCTCTGTTGGATACTCCCTTTAGCCCCACCAGCTACAGGTACATACCCCTCCCCCCTCAGGCATGCCATTCAACATAGATATTGTACTAAAAGAAGACCACTGTCAACCTTATTAAAAAGTTACCGAGTAAAAACATTGTTACTAGGAAAAAGAAAAACCATTCTACTGAAGTGAATTATTGCAGTATCCTTCAAATTTTGGTTCCATTGCTTACATGTATTGTTTCTAGTAACAAAAAGTGCAAGTCTTAAGATGAAAGTTTCATGTTACAGAACAAAAAATATCCTTTCTTTTTCCAGGGAGGCTGTTTTCTCCCAACAACTCCCTACCAGGTAGAAATTTCATTCAAGTTTCTTATAACATACTTTTTGTTTGTTTTGGCCATGAAGACCCTCTCTCCTGACAACTTTTAAGGATCCTAGAATCAAACAATGCAAATATCCCTTATGCACAACTGTCTTACCATATAGATTTTAAGGATCAGCAAGGGAAAATTGGCAAAAAAATATACTTCCAGTCCTTCACACGTAATTGAACTGTCTATCCCCTACTACACAGAGAGAAATAACTGGCAATGTAATTTTGCTTATCTGTGCAAATTAAGTTTGCTGTCATTAAGTTTTACAATCCCCCATAAGCAACCATGCAGTCTGTCTGGAGGTGTGCTGTTACCACCCCTTAAATCCCCTTAGCAAAAACCTTGCATGCCTCCCTCTAAAACAATAAATTATGATCACAGCAATTGCAGGCACGTGGTATCTTTCTGGTATACTATCGCACTCAAAAAAGACTACTAGTAATAATAATTGATCAACAAGAATATTGTTTTGGTTATGATATTATCCTTCTTCTTGGCTGTAGCCCCTCTTAATATCTCCACCTCTCTTGAGGCACCACCTCCCAAAGCAAAGGGCCTATTCTCTGTCATATTGTTTCTATTTTATGTGTTTCTTACCCAATAAAATACAGTTTTAGAGATCCAGTAGAAAGTGCTGTGAGAAAAAGGGTAGTTCTTTAGGATGTTTTACTGCCCTTTCCTAATAGTACCACCTGTTTTTTAAGAATTCCCAGTCTTTCATCAACCATTTAAAAAATTTGATATCTAATTCTCTTAACAAAAGCTCAAGCTCTAACACTGAATAACTCTAACATTTCTTTACTCTACGTTCCTTGTAATTCTCTCACGTGCACTAAAAGAAAAATCCTGGATCGGCAAACCTACTAACCTTAACTATGCGACACCGTGCCAGAGGGTGTTCGAACAGCAGAAGACCGAGCCCCTGCAAAAACTTTACGTCGAGTGGCAAAGCCTTCCAGGTGTTAACACTTTAAACTGTGACCATAAGCTTTTTCCCCACGGTATTTCGCTCAGGATAGGCAATTTTGATGACTTCGATGAATCAGAAGCCGCGAAAGCCAAACTCTTGAGTGACGCTCGATTACAAACAGCGAAAGACTCGCCATGACATTTCTCAAAACCATGCAGTTGAGTGGAAGTTTCTGCAACTTTACCGGGCGTGATACAGCCTTCCAGCGGTGAACACTTTAAACTGTGGCCATAGACGTTTTCCCCATTCTATTCCGCTCAGGAAATTATATTTTGATTGATGACTTCTCTAAATCAGAGGCCGCAACAGCCACAAAACGTTAACGACATTCGTTCTGAAACATCGCAAGACTCGCCATGATATTCCCCGCAGCTGCATGATATTTACCGTTAAAACAATACTAAATCTTCTTTGTCTGGTCATGACATTTGCTTCAATGGCCGGCTAGATACCTTCTCAACATTCTCGGCATTCAAGATACATAATTCCGTTAGCCTGTGGGTAGAAACAACGAGAAAACCAAATGGCATCGGGCGTCCATCTTTGTGCTTCGCGCGAAAACAGAGCAGCAACTCTGCAACCGGATGTGATGTCATAAATCGGTGGATCATAGGTACACGAAATTTCGCTAAGTCGTGGGCCCCCCCCTGCTTCAGGGGCTCAAACACATTAAAGTCGTATTTTATTTTGAGACAAGGAATGTTCAGATAGGAAAATCTCAAAAAGTTGACGATGCTTTTTGCCGATGTAGTAAAGTCCAGACATAACTAATCGATGATGAATGACATCAGTGAGTAATTGATGAGTAATCATTGGGTAATCAACTGATTAGTCATTGATTATTCGCTATAATCAATGGGTAATCGATGGCCAACAATTTTGTGGCCTATCAATTACTCATTAATGACATTGATTACTCATTGATGTCATTGATAAGTAATTGATGTGTTCGGTTACTCATCCATTATTTGATGATAATCTGTCGATTAGTCATTGATTACACATCTCGTACGAAATAGGAATTGAACTTGCATGTAGAAAACCAATTTATATAGGCCATGACGAAAACAGAACAGCAAGTCAAATTTATTTATCGAACAGTAACTGAAATATCAAAAACAAAATGTTCAGAAGGTCGAGTTATCTTTCTTACTCTCTTGGTTATTAGAGTCTCAGTGTCTTTGTTGAGAAACAGCCAGCACAGAGTGCCTACCGAGTAAAAGTTTTTCGCATCTAAGGTGGTGGTTTCAATTTATCCAGATTTATAGAAACTAAAAGGGGTTCTTGAAAGTGGTTCTTGGACAATTTTCAAGATTGAATAGCCTTGAGTTTCGAGAATCGTCAAGGTCTGGTTCAACAATAAGTGCAAGCTTGCTGACAGCTCTACTGAAGATACTTCAGGACCTTCAAATGCTGCTGTTGTTGCATAACATGAATAAGTAAAGCTTGTATCGTGACATTTATGTCAAAGAAGTCTTTGTTTCTTTATTTGCGATTTGGTATGGTTTGAGTACCCGCAAGATTATACCGATAACTAATCAATGACCAATTGATGACTGAAAATTTTGTGGCCTATCAATTATTCATCGATTACTCATTGAATATTGGATATAATCAATGACTAATCAACTGATTACCCATCAATTACCTATTGATTACTTATTAATTTCATTAATGTCATTGATTAGTTATGTCTGGTACAGTGTACATGTACAAGCAAATTTATACAACAGGATAAACTAAAGTTAATGTGATAACCATAAACCCGCCTTTACCAGTAATGGAACCGGCTCACTTCCTTTTAGGGGTTACTTCCTGCATGTGACCCCTGTCACACTAATTGTTTCGCTCAGCCAATTAGACACCAGCTATCACATGAAAGGTTGATGCCTACATTTTCGCGCCTAGGGGCCTCTTCATATGAGCCCGGTTGACCGGGCTGGCCCGATTTCCGAGATCTCGCCTCACCTCTAAATCCTTTGTAAAATTTTCAATGTGTTCATATGAGAGGGCGGGCTGGCTCGGTTCCCGAGATCTCGGTAAGCGGGCTGAAAATTTTGCCATATGAACACTTCATCCCGGTTACCGGGATGAATGGCGAGATGAATTCTGGCGGTCCGGATGGCATCGTCTTGCATTGCCTGCTGCATTTTCCACATCATAAGCATCCCATTTAACTGCAGTGATACAGCTTTAAGAGTTACCGATGGTAAGATAGGCCCGAAAGTTAAAATTTTTGTGTTTCGCCAAGTTTGCTTTGTTTCCCGAATTTGGCGCCAGAACTCGTTCCCAGGATCTTTGACCTTTTCTCATCTCGGAAACCGGGCTGAAATTTCTCATATGAACCCAAAGCAAAATTCATCCCGGTAACCGAGCCAGCCCGGTCAACCGGGCTCATATGAAGAGGCCCTATCTCAGCAAAATAGCACTTCATATTCTTCTCTTCGTCGAACAAAATGCCTGTTACTTACAGTCAAACCAGGTCAAGCGTTCCCGTCGCTAACAAACTAATGAATTCATTAATGGAAAAATGATTTCGTTTGTTGATTCAATAATCCATTCATAAAATGAATAATCCAACGGTCAAATTGTACCTCGATTCAATAATCAAATGTTGATTTGGTTTATGAACAAAATCTACCTGTTCTTTATTCTTGTCTGTTGTGTTCAATCGTATTTACTTCCCTTTTCCTGCCGTTTACGATTGCGTTTTACATTGCCTTTAATCAAAATAACAGCTAGAATAGACAGACCGCAAACGCAAAGAAACTGACAAAGGCCGAGGATCGAAATCCACCAATCACCGCACATACACTGACCTCAGTTTGACCGTCGTGTTTTCTAAGAGGTCAGGCCTTGGTATGTTGCACTGATTATTGGCAGCAAACTGGCGTACATGTAACAGTTTCTTTGGGTTTGAACTTCAGAACTCGCCAGCACTCGACTCTCAGAAAAAAATAGGAAAACACAAAATTCTGAGGTCAACTTGTGGAAAGTGTAATTTTTCAAAAAACAGTAATCGAATCAACATTCGATTATGGAATCGAGGCTAAATATGACTATTGGATTGTTCATTTTATGAATGGATTATTGAATCAACAAACGAAATCATTTTTCCGTGAATGAATTCATTAGTTCGGTAGCGACGGGAACGCTTGACCTGGTTTGACTGTAAAGCCCGGATTTTCTTCAAGAATTGGAATTTTTGCTAAGCTGTAATGACTAGATCACCGTTTAGGAAGGGGTACCTTAATCTTCCAACTGCATACAAGCGTTACGCGTTCGAGTTTTCTGGACAGACCTTCCACGAAGAGATGTTGCACCGCCGCTCTTGGTCAAACTCCGTCTTTGGAACATTGATCTACAATACTGCAACCCGGCCTCCTCTTGAATGTCCCTGCTTTCTCCTCTTCTTGAACTTTCGATACCCTCTCGCATGTACCCTCACTTTAGGCGGTTGGACTTTCTCTGCTGGCGGCACTTCACAGTCAAGGAAATCATCTTAGGCCAGTGTGTCTTCCTTTGGGATCAGAGTTGCTGTCTCGTGAGTCAGGTGCGGTATTTTTCTGGTTTATCGATAGTTAACTTGATATATATTCTTATTATATTGTGCCTCGAACGACATCTATTTTTGCAATATTGTGTGCATGTGACCGCTTTGAGACATGGAAAGTTATTTTTGAGTTCTCTTACTGTATTAAAAAGCAGGACTTGGCGCCGCGGCCTCTGAAATTCGCCTTATTTGTGAGTCCCGGGGATTCAAGTATGGATGTCCGTGCGTTTATTATGCTCTTACTATAGAGTGAGAAAGAATACGCACTGTTAACATCAAATCTGTTAAGATTGGGTCTTCGAGGTTTTTTCAACTAATGGATTGACTTTCAGTTTCAATTGTTGATTCACATCTAACATATTAATGGTTATCTTTACCCTGGGCTGTTAAGTAAGACTTAAGAGCCGCTAAGTTTTACTTAACCAAAAATTTGTGTGTGAAGGCCTAAGTAAGATCTCAAGTAACTTTACTTTGCTTCTTGGAAAGTTGAAACGATTCAAGAAAGTTTTAAGCGACTTGAAAACCATCCTTTTGACCGACTTAGCTGACTTGCGGTTTTGCGGTTTCTTGAGCTTTGACAAAGGCGAGACATGTCAATCAATCTTAATTTTGTTGCATGGGAAGATAACCTGAAGTAAAAAGAATCGGTTGTGTGTGAAGCTTTATTTTACTTGAAGTAATTAAAATTAACTTGTCTTGAAATATGTCTTAGCTTATTTAGGCTCTAGTGTAAAGACTACCATTATGAGTTGAGAATGACACATGAAAGAAAATCATCAAGGTCGGTTTCATGCGTCGCACGTGCAGACTGCTCCTTGCGAAAAGTCGCGTTTCACAGTATTCGAGAATCAGAAATTTGCTTCGTTCTCCGGATCATAAAGAGGAATTATAAGCTAAAAATTTTTCAGGATTAACTGTTGAAAAGGTGAGCTTTCCAATTATTGAACCTGTTTCATGTTTGAAGCAATCTATATTTTGAAATGTTGGACGCATCTCTGATTTTGTGGATTGAAACGTACAGCGTGACGCTGGTGCACTTGTTCAACAACGCTCATTTTTCTCCAAAACGGCCTTTTCTCACAAAGTTTGACCTATACACCTGAAGTTTATGAATAATTTTGATGTATAGGGATATTAACGTGCTCTTGTATGGTTAAAACATGAGATGTTGCCGAAACGATAACTTGCATTGCTGCATGTGAATGTTACGCGTGACGGCCCTATAATTGTGCACGTTTTTCAAAACATCATGTCCTTAAAATTTAGAATTCAATACAAATGCATTATTTTTGGCAGACTTGTAGTTCATTAACATGTCGTTATTCTTTGTGCCAAGGGACAGCTCTGTAGCTGTAAAATGTTTGGAGATTATTGTAATTCATATGCCTAACTTCGCTCGTACAAGTGAACCGTGCTACTGATCAATGTAAGCATTTATTTTGTGCTGTTTGGACTTAAGTTCATCTGTTTGGGTGTGCATTGTAATTCCCCAACTCAATATCATGCTAAAGATAGAGGTATAACGTGAGTGGATTTCTTTGTTTGAGGTTTCTTTGAGGTACATTGGGATTCGCATGCTCATTTGATCAGTGCACCGTTTTTGCTTCAAGGCAGTGTCTATTTTCAGGGTTGTCACTAAAAATTCAAGTTGCCGGGTATTTGTTGTTAGTAGCCGGAGAAGTCGCAAGCAGTCATGGAGCCCCTTCCCCCACCCCCCTTCCCCAAGAAGGTTTTGAAGTGTAGCTTTTACCGTTTTCGAAAAGGCACTACCGCGCCAAAAAAGCAATCTTCATCAAGAGTACAGCTATCATTAGCGGTTTTATGATGATCACGTCTTTATTAAAGAAAACTACAACATTCTGAGACACTATAGTTAAATTACTTTACGTAAAGGCTCGTTGGAGGATTTTTTAGTGGCCGCCAAATGGGAATATACATGTAAGCACCGGGCCGGAAAAAAATGACAGGTTGGCACCGGTCAAGTTATCTACGCAGTGTTATCCTCACGCAGACAGGGCGCATGCTAGCCAGTGAAGTGTTAAATCACAACGATACTTTACAAATGTTAAAAATGTTGAAAGGACAATCGATTCTTATACGGTGCAAATGAATTAATATGCGCTGTAAAATCAATTGTAAATGCACATTTAGACCCTGTTTACATTGAGTGGGGGACCCCGGTCTAGTGGGGTAGGTTTCTTTTCTTTTGTGTCCCCCAGAGCGTGAAAACAAAAGAAACGAACCCCACTAGACCGTGGTCCCCCACTCCATGTAAACAGGCCCTTTAAGTTATACGTAAGAAGTGAAACTAATATTGCAAATGAATTAACCCACGCAGAAGCGGAAAGAAGAAAAGCGGAGGATGAATGTACGAAAAAGCATCATAAACATAAGGTTACTATGGCTTGTTGAAAAATAAAAGTATGATAAGGCTAAAACAAGTGTAACGCACGAAAACTCGCGGGATAAAATATGGCGAAACTAAACTGCACAACTGGTAACATTAGTGGTCTCGAATTTATGAACGAAACATCACTTAACATAGGAAGAAACTGACCTACGGAAAAGCGTTTAAACGACAGGGCTAATACTTTAGAAACGCTGACATGTCAAAACGAGACTCAAGGAGAAGAATGTAAAAGTAATGCTAATACTTAACTTCCCTTTTATATATAACTTCTTGGAAGTAGAACTAAGAGCATGTGATCATGGCCTGCGGACAATGATCGAATATTTCCCGTTGACCGTGCGTTATTTTATATACTCGATATCTAAAGCTAAATGTAGACCTGGTCACTTAAATGTCCACATTTTAAACATGGTAATCAGTCATAGTCTTCATCTTCAAAGCCTTCATCATAATCCTCATTATCATCAACATCAGCATCAGGGAGATTTAACCCTCATCTGCTCCGGTCTTTCATCGTGAACAAAGAGTGCAGAATCCTTTGCCACTTCTTCGACATGTTCAACACAACAGTTGAAACTTATAGGGACTTTTAGCATCGACAAAGGTGACGGCAGCGAAAACGTCACTTTTAAAAATGAATTGGCGTTTTTTCCAACTTTGTCGCGTTTATTTCAATTCGCTGAAAATATAGCTAATGTAGGCCAGTTTCCCTGGAGTTGATTTCTTTGGGCGCACTCAAGTTTAGAAAGAGAAAGAAAAGTTTGTCGTCGCTTGTTTTAGGTCCTCCATAAAACGTGAAACTAGGCATTTTCACGTCGTAGTCGTGCAGTAACGGCAAAGAAATGTACAAAAAAGTGTGATGCACGTGCAAACTAGTTGTTTTGCTCAATAAACCTATTGCTTTTTTGACGTTCTCATTGCCGTCGCCGTCGTCGTTGCTAAAACTCCCTACTGACATTTCGCGAACGGAGTGTTTTCGCGCGGGTGTACTACTACCAAATCTAAGTCAGATGTCTTTTTGCGATGTTTCTTAGTTTTTGCACGCGAGTATTTCAGAATTTTACTTAAACCTGCTGCAGATGAAACTCGCATTTAGTTTGATGGATAGTCTTTGCGTGTTTCAAAAGTGTGCTCTTTTGGTTTTATTTAACGACGAAAGTAGCCGGGGGCCATGCTCTGAGTAGCCGGGGGAAATCCCCGGCCCCCGGCCCTTAGTGACAACCCTGAATTTTTCAGTGCATAACTGTTAGTTATTACTTGTAATCAAATTACAATCCGAGCCTTCTCATTTTCCCTAGAGAGGATTATCACCTCTCACTATCCTGGGGGATTATCACCCCCAAGAGAGGATTATCACCTCTCACTATAAACTCCTCTCCCAGGGAATTGTTACCCCAAATAGGAAGTGGAGTGTAGGATTGCAACTCCTCTGAATCTACCAAGGACCTTTTTTCAGGGGATTGGTAAACCTGGCAAGGAGTGAACACCTTTTTCTGGGTGTGATTGCAGCCCTAATAAGTGTGCATGTTGTTGCATAAAGTCTGTTCCTAACTCCTTGCCTTATGCCACATACTGTTGTTATTGTTTCAGTAATTGGGTCGAAACCATAAATAATACAGTTACTTTTAGTAGCTTACAAACAACAACCATGAGCATGTGTATTCTGATTTATCGATAAGGATGTTTAAAATTTTCTCAATATGGATTGGGTTCTCAGTATCTGACCCTGACTTGATAGATACACCAGTTGCATCTAGTTTGTGTAATTAGTCAATTAATTGTGCTTAATTTCCAGACTGATCCTTTGTTTTGTTCTCTGTTATTGCATATCTCCTCATCTGCAGTGGAGGAAGTCTTAGGCTCCTGACCAACACGTTGCTGTTCCTGGTTAAGTCCTCAGCTGATACCTAATTGACCGGACATTTGCCCAGTCTAATTTTATACGCAATGTTTCAAGTACCACGTGACCATTGTTTCAAATGACATTTGACTCTGGAAATAGCCCTACAATAACTGTTGTTCGTCTATGGGGAATACCCCTTTGGGGTATTTGTGGGGATGAAGTGCTCCCATACAGGTCACACTTTGCCCCATAGACTCTTGTTACTCCTTAAACCGGGGAATTAGACATCTAGAGAGGTCTTTCCACCTCTCCAGTACCCAAGGGGGATTATCACCTCCACTCACAACCTTGGGAGATTATCAACCCTTAGAGAGGATTATCACCTCTCACTATCCTGGGTCTCTCACAATCCTGGGGGATTATCACCCCCTAGAGAGGATTATCACCTCTCCCTTTGTAGATTTCGGACTGTTAGACCAATACCCGTGCGGAACATGCAGATCTGCAGACTGGTCTGTTTTTCGTCTGCTCAACCGTCTTCAGCAGGCCTGCAGATCACTTGCCTGAAATGTCTGCAGTTAGTATGCAGTTGGTCTGTATTAAGTGTGCAGTTCGATTTTATTTAGTCACGGAAAGGTGAACACAAAAAGTGGATCGGTTCTAAAAGTATCCCTTCACTGTCAGTGAGCTGCAAGTGAAAAGGTGAATGACAGACCTTTAGGTCTGCACATTGACTGCAGCAAAGTGAATGGAGTATTAGATGTCAGCTAAAAATATACGAAGAAAACAACACGCTGCAAGCCAAAAGGTGACCTAAAGGTGACCTTTATTTTGAATGGAAAGAGGCATCGAGAGAGTAACTTAAAATTATCTTTTTCAAAAATAAAGAGAATAACAGCGATTGCTCTTATACATAAAGTTTACACGGACAGCAGGCAAATGATATTTTGATTCGTTGCAACGGGCTAAGCTGGACATTGCTCACCTTGACGTTTTGTCCATGATCCACGATCTTCTACACTTTTTGCATGAAAGTAATCAACCCAATTTTACTTTGGTCGTCGTTAAATTTTACAAAGGACTAAGGACCGAACATTACCAAGAGCGTATAAGAATCTTGTAAGTGCGAATTACCCCATCTGAGATTCTTGTATCTGTGTTGCTTGCTCTGGTTCGATTCGTCGATACTTAGCGTAGAAGTCACTGTTCAGTACGGTGGCCCAAAAGGCTCAAACACAAATCAATTTCCCAAAACACAAATATGTTTTCCAAAACACAAATTAATTTCCCAGAACACAAATATGTTTTCCAAAACGCAAATCAATTTCCCAAAACACAAATCAATTTCAAAAGACTGGGCACTACATTATTATGAACGAGATGGCCTGGAAAGAAGAGTGACGAACTCGGGTCCAGGGTCTTTCGCGTCCAATAAGGCGACTAAATGTCACTCGTGCAACTTTGTGTCCCTTTAGTCCTATTAAGATGTTTTGCGGTCATTGCGGCAGTGTTGTGAAGGATACTTTTAAATTTTGCGTAAAGTGTGGAAATTCTACGTCCAATAACACTGACCAGTGGTAGGAAAGGGAGAGCTGAGTGTGCTACATCTGGAATTGCCACATCTGATTTAACCTTAATTTCTTCTAAGCCTGTTCCTACTATGGACACCTTTATGAACGATAAAAAAGAAGAGAGAAAGTCGCACTTAAAAAAAAAGAGCAAGAAGACTAAGAGGATGACTGAGAAAGAAGACCCACCTGTAACCGTCAACATTGGCATCATGCGATATATTGAAGAGGAAAATATGCTCAAGCCCCAAAGAGGCAAATCTCTTCCTGTAAGAATTGGTAGAACAGCGGATGGGGAGGAGCTATTAAAGTTAGCAGTAGCAAAGCACTCGAAGCATAATGCTAATGAAATTACTCATAGCTCTCCTTTGGCCTACAAATTGCTGTACCCAGACGGGATAGAAGTAAATAAACTTAGAGAATCCGACCAAGCATTCAGCTTACAAGAATATAAAGCTGAACTGGGTAAACCGTACAACAGGATAACATTTTATCTTTGTTCTTCATCAGATTACTATGATCATAGTTTCAAAGGTTTTGCTGACACAATTTCTGATGATGGAGACGACAAGAATGACAGTGACAAGGATTCTGAAGACCTAAGTGAACCAACACAAACAAAAATAACCAAGTACACTGACACTGGCTTTGCTAAGACAACCACCACTGTTAAAGCATCAGATGCAAACTCTGTTTCTGTTAAACCTGGTTCTTATATTGCAACTAGCCTATCTGATCCTTTCAACAAGTGATATACCCACCTCTCTTCTTGGTAGTTCATCTTCTGGTTCATGTACTACTACAGCATGTAACAGTTCTGGATTTGAAACACTCAAAGAAATCATTATGAACATGAGAAGCTGACTGCTGAGGTTGTTGATAATCAGTTTCAGTGTGTCTTTAGCGTGGAAGGAAGTAACAAACGTGCTAAGGAGGAAGCTATAGCCTTTAACTTTACACATTACCTTGAGGATGTTGAAGAAGGTTTGATTACCACCACAGTCCTAGATCCTGAGACAGATGAAATTCACACCAGTAAAGTTGAACTTGCACATGTTCTTCAGTTTGTTACTGGATGCCCTGCCTTACCTGTCACTGGATCTGACACAAATCTAACTATTGTTTTTGATCATGAAGAGATCCAGAGGAAACTTTCAGCAAACACCTGTTCCTGTACCCTTAACATTCCAGTTTGTGATTTGCTTGCCAGTTATGAGGCTTTTAAAAGTGAGTTCACAGAGTGCATCTTCAGTTCACCTGGTTTTGGTAAAGTGTGAATCAAGTAGCAGTTGACTTTTGTATTTGTCGGTCTGGATGAACCCGATTATATAATGTTAAATTTTAACAAACATCATTAATAAGCTTCATGACTTTAACAGCATGCATACATGTACCCAAGCATAGTATTTCTGTCTGTTTTGCAAAAGTCCATGCTGCCTATTTTGCAGAAGAGTTAAGTTTCACTTTCAATGGAACTATGAATGGGAAAGGTTTTTGGAGCAAATAATTTTTATAGATGTAAGAGACGATCAAATGTATCATTAAGATGCCAGTGTTTGTTAGACAACCCTTGGCTTCTGAGTTGTGTTCCTATTTGCATATGCTGTTCTACTTGTTATGCTTTGTTAGGTTAGTATTCTTGTGCATTTGAGACTGGGACTTAAGAGCACAGTTGGCAATGTCATAAAAATATGACTTTGGAATTGTAGTGTGTATATCCATTTGGCAAGAGTTATTTGGACATTTGTCAATCAAATTGAATTTTATTTGGTGTCTTAGCAGACAATATGCACAAATGACATTCTACAAACTGGTCATAGAAATCTTTAAACAGTACAAATGTTTGTAAAATTTGCCTAGTATCTGCTAAAATGGCAAATGAAACTCACTGTATCTATCCTACTGCACCATAGTTGTTTGGTCTCTTGTCTATGGTGTTGTGAAGTGACACAGTAAATAAATACAATCTATGTCTGAGTCAGACTTCTTGTGTAGGTGAAGTTATACATATACTAGTTCTTACTGTTGTGTCAGTGTCTTTGAAAAAGTCAATTTTAAGATGGCATTGTGAACCTGCAAAAAGCTCATGCCAGGAGAGAACAGTTGTGGTTTAGTTCATTTGGAGTACCAGTACAGATCAGACATGCACTCTTTTCACTTGTCAACTGACTATATTGTTAAATAATGTTCTGGTTATTTGATCTGTTATAGATAACAATGTTCCAATATTTTTTGTATTGGATGGTTTTTGCATTCCATGATTGTGACAACATTTTTATCAGGTTAATCAAGAAACATTTTATTGTGATAATTGGAGAATCATATTTCCTTTTGCATTCATGATGAGTGGAGTAATGCACATGTATTTTGTTTAGGACTCTGACCATTACAGAATCATTTTTTATCTTTGCTGTAGTTGCTCCAATTGTTGGTTATTGCTTGACAATTCTCTTTGAAAAATGTTTTGAATGCATGTTGTTGTTATTGATGACAATTATAATACCAGATGTCATTATCAATAAAGTGGTGACATTACGTGTTTATCAGGGCTGAAGTGTATTGAATAGTGTAGAAGTCCAGGAGTTAGTTTGGTTGTTTTTTATTTCCTCCTTGAAAATTTTAAGAATCATTCTCTTCATTTGACATTTTCGAGTAAAACTTGTTTTATTAAAGAGAAAACTCTATTCATCAAAATGCTGTAAGCAATCTGCAGCATACAGAATTCATGGAGACGAATGAATTACAAATTTATAACAATGGTTTATAGTGATACTGTGAACTTAATAAGCTACTTGTCCTTCACTTTTTCATTAACTGTTATAAGATCACTGGTCTCTGTCAACTGTGGACCAGAATCGAATAGCTCCTACACTGCAACTCTTATTAAATAAGAAAACAGGCTCAAAGCTTCCTTCCAGTTAGAGGGCTTCGAAACATTAAGGAGGGACAAAACATGATTAAAGTACTCCTGAAAATCGTTGTTAAAATCTGTTGCTTTACATTTCAGCCTTGCTTCATCAAGCTTTTCAGGGGACACTGGGTGTAAGTGGTTTGAAGCTCCAAAGTTTTCTGGAAGATAATAGAGTTCCTCTGGTTTCCCAGGAACTGTTTCATGCCTTGAATGCCGAATGTAGTGTGTATTCCAGTGAAACTTCACAAAGTCTAGATCATGCTGGATTAATTCTGCAAAGCAAAACCATATGCACTCCCCATGGAGCACATCACCAGTCAGAAATATCCCACGATCCACAAGGTCTTTAAAAAAGTTGATCCACCACGTTAGACGACTACGGCGAAGATGGGCCCACCAGGCCTCTATTCTTTGATAATAATAATAATAATAACTTTATTTCTATAGCGCTCTTATCCTATGTTCAAGGCGCTTTACAGTCATGTAAACAACATTATTGAAAAATATTTACAAATTTACAACCATATCCTAATATATTTACAATGGATAAAAAAGGAAAAAATTAAAACTAAAAAAACTATTAAACCATATTCATAATGATAAAAAAAGGGATAAAATTAAAACTAACGCAATATATACAAATCTATAAAAACAATGATCCGTTATCACTGAATTTAGTAAACAAGCACGTCTTAAGTGATCTTTTAAAACTCGAGATGGTGTTGGACTTCCGAATTTCATAGGGTATTAAGTTCCATTCTCTTGGTGCGTGAACAGCGAATGCTCCATCTCCATAGGTCTTGGTATACGATCTAGGTTGCATTAAAAGTTCATTACTAACAGACCTCAATGATCTAGAATGAGAACGATAATGTAGTTTTTGAGCTAAATAGCTAGGCGATGTCCCATTCAGTGATTTATACACGACGAGCAGAATCTTGAAAATAATACGATATTGAATCGGTAGCCAGTGAAGCGCACACAAAACAGGTGTGATATGCTGAAACTTGCTCACTTGCAACACAACTCTAGCCGCCGTGTTTTGTACATACTGCAATCTTTGTAACTGATACTTAGGTAGGCCGTATAATAATGCATTACAGTAATCTAGTTTCGATGTGACAAATGCATGAACAGCAACTTCTGCTGATTCTTTAGTGAAATACTTCCTAATTCTAGATAGGTTCCTGAGATGACAAAATGATGATCTACAGATGCTAGACACATGTGCATGAAAAGACATGTGCTCATCAAAGATAACACCAAGACTCCTAGCCGACTGAGAGGCAGCCACGCTGTCATCACCAACACATAAGGACTGAAAGGATGGAGAGGGACGATGCTTTGAGTGGATAAGCATGACCTCCGTCTTGTCGTGGTTTAGCTTCAATTCGTTGAGATCCATCCAGCGACATATTGCAGAAATGCAGTTCTCGACCCTCGATTTACCAGCGTCCACATCCACCAATTTGAATGCAAAGTATAACTGAGTATCGTCGGCGAATAGATGATAATCTAAGCCATAAGATCTTATCACTTTAGCAAGTGGCGCAGTATACAGAAGGTAGAGAACAGGTCCAAGAACTGAACCTTGAGGAACACCCACGGGAAGATCTCGTACCGTAGAATTCGCCTCATTGATGTTTACAAACTGAGTTCTTTGAGACAGATAAGAATCGAACCATTGCAGTACAGTTCCTCTGATACCAAATGATTTCTACAGTCGTGCCAGCAGCAAGGCATGGTTAACGGTATCAAATGCTGCCGACAGATCCAATAAAACAAGGAAAACATTCTCGCCCTTGATTTCCAGTAGAAGGACCATAACGGTGTGATTTTTCACCAGCTAACTCATCATCACAGTCAGCTCTTAAAAAACACTGTGTACCTGCAATTGCTACATTCTCTGTTCCGCAGTCTGTTCGGAGTAATGAAGGACGTCCACCGACCTCCACAACGCAATCTAAAAAAAACTTTGCCGTTATTTCTGGATCATTATTGGTTCTATCTACCTTAAGCCACATTACCATGCGACTTTAGCCATCAACAGCCCCATGGATGGGAAATCCGAAAGGTTTCAGTTTATCATAACCATCAACATGCCAACAATAATTTGGTCCAGGAGACTCATACTTCCTTCTTTTTAGCCTGTGGCGCTTCCTCTCTTCCACTCCAGCTGGGTCTATCGTTCTGATCAGGGATTCTACCTTTTGCCTTGGGACAAACAGCCCATACTTTGTACGAAGCATATGCCAAACTGCTCTGTAACCACAAATGCCTCCTGGGCCATCCATCTCGTCTCGGATTAATTTCTCAACGGCAGGCAAATTTATATCCACTTTATTCCTTTTAAGGTTGTATTCACATAACCTTCTTTTCAATGTTGACATAGACATAGGCATGTCATGGTACTTGTCAAGGAAGAGTAGAATAACCCTGTAACTGAACCCACTATAAAAGTAAGCCTCTATTGCTTCTTTCTCGGTCACGTTTTCAGCTGATAATAATAGCCTAACAGAAGGTATAGCAGTGTCTAGCTTGGTTCCACACTGAAAGCAGTACAAATATTCATCTAAAACTTGTTGGCCGCAGCTTTGGCAGAACATTTTTCACGTTAACACCTGGTTAAAACAATCAAAATACAGCCCGTTCAGATAGTCGCCATATTGGATGCGAAAGACCCTGGGCCCGAGTTCGTCACTCTGCTTTCCAGGCTATCTCGTTCATATTAAGGTAGTGCCCAGTCTTTTGGCTCGAAAACTGATAAGTGATTCGTGAAATTGATTTGTGTTTTGGAAAATTGATTTGTGTTTTGGAAAATCAATTTGTGTTTTGGGAAATTGATTTGTGTTTTGGGAAACTGATTTGTGTTTTGGGAAATTGATTTGTGTTTGAGCCTTTTGGGCCACCGTAGTTCAGTGCGTTGTTTGCAAATACGTTTGAGCTGTTCCATCCAAAAACTTCAACAGAACTTCCATCTCGAAACAGAACTAGATGCAAAAACACTTAGAATGTTTGCGCCTTTCATTCAACGGTCGCAAATGTTTGGGATCCCGTGTTTGTCTAGAGATGTAATGGGATCTCATGTAAAAGGACCGACCAATTAGATCACGGCGTAGAATGTCTCCAGGGAATTAGCGATAACATTCCCACACTTGCCGGTCACGGAATAAAATTTATTGAAAGCATAGAATTTGACGGTTTATTCAATAAGTGATCTTCCTTGAGCACAAGCTTACTCACATTTCTTAGAGGTACAGTCAACGTTTTCGCGTTATAAAAGCCGTAATCTGTGCCAAGGCTTTATCTGGCGATTCATGTTATTGGCGCTCAAGAAAGTCAGATCGACCGCAGCTGAATTGTAGCGACGTTACTGCAGCTACTTCGCAGCGTTTGAAAGTCGGCAACTGCGCTGCAAAACCGCTGCCGAGAGCTTCAAAGAACCTTCAAAGGCTGCACAGCGCTTTTGCAGCCCGCTGCAACTTGAATGAAGCTGCTGTTTGGCTTCTAAAAGGCTGCTGAACAGCTGTAATTTAGCTGTACAGCTATTTTGAAGCGATTTTGTGGCGCTGTACAGCGCCGCAAGTTTCGTGCGGGTGGTTGTCTGCACAGCGTCTGCTGCAGATCAAGTGCAGACATAATAATAGATCCTTATTGCATAATCACCAAAAGTCACGAAAGGTCTGCAACAGACTTGCTGCAAACAAGATAAAAGGCAACACACAGTCAAAGAAGAAGTCATTTTCATGAGATGTCTGTCACAGACAGTATGCAGACTTGCAGACTTCAGTTTTGCGTCAAATTGGTCTGCTGTATGACTGAACAGACCTGTGACAGACCTGAGAAAGGCCTTCGGCAGATCTGCAAGTTACGTACGGGTATGTAGAGAAAAGTGACCTGCTGTCCATATTTGGAGTACTTCATCCCTTACCCCTTTTCCCCACAATAATTCTGGTCTAGTTTACTTGCTTTTATCTAAGGGGTTATGGGTTAAGAGCATTAAAGCAAATTTATGCAACAGGATAAATTAAAGTTAATGTGATAACCATAAACCCGCCTTTACCAGTAATGGAACCGGCTCACTTCCTTTTAGGGGTTACTTCCTGCATGTGACCCCTGTCACACTAATTGTTTCGCTCACATGAACAGTTGATGCCTATATTTTCGCGCCTAGCTCAGCAAAATAGGACTTCATATTCTTCTCTTCGTCGAACAAAATCCCATCCCACCCTCCCTTATCACTGTTTGATTCTGTCTGCTGGTTTTCCTAAGGTTTTGTTCTCTTGCTTAAAAGTTAAGAAGCTCCTTATACTTTTTGCAGTCATAAGAACTACTGATCTTTGTTGTGTATACTTTGAACCAATTGGCAATTATCAAGAAGATATGGCAGAAAAGAGGTGAGGTTTCTGCTGAGGGGAATCATTCTACCAGGCATCTCAACATGCTTGTGCACTTAGTTACTTTTGCCCTTATTTTGATTATTAAGTTGATAAAAGTTTAATTGTCATTTACTTACAACTTGTATTATTATATTTTCGTCTAACCTCTCTCCCTCGAGGTTCATGTTAAGTGTCTGGCTCTGCTTTCGGGAGGGTTCAGGTTTCCCTCAAAAATAATTGAGGGTTTTTCCTGACGGGCAGCAGACACGCATTTCTAACTTAAATTAGTGATGATATCTGTATTGAGAGTTGTTGGCAATTAATAAACATAGGTTCGGGATGAAGTGCACCCATACAGGTCACACTTTGCCCCATAGATTCTTGTTACTCCTTAAACCAGGGAATTAGACATCTAGAGAGGTCTTTCCACCTCTCCAGTACCCAAGGGGGATTATCACCTCCACTCACAACCTTGGGGGATTATCAACCCCTAGAGAGGATTATCACCTCTCACTATCCTGGGGGATTATCACCCCCTAGAGAGGATTATCACCTCTCACTAACCTGGGGGATTGTCACCCCCTACAGAGGATTATCCTCTCTCACAATCCTGGGGGATTATCACCCCCTAGAGAGGATTATTACCTCTCCCTTTGTAGATTTTGGACTGTTACACCAATATGTAGAGAAAAGTGACCTGCTGTCCATATTTGGAGTACTTCATCCCTTACCCCTTTTCCCCACAATAATTCTGGTCTAGTTTGCTTGCTTTTATCTAAGGGGTTATGGGTTAAGAGCATTAATGAGTAGCTAAGTGCCATGTCACTCAAAAGCTTGGAAATTCAAGCACCCTCTATCAATCACCAAACAAAGTTTAACCCTTTCAAACCAAAAATTTGTATAAATGAAGGTGTTAAGCTGCTGTATTACAGTGTACATTGTACATGTACCTCATGGAATTAAACACTCATCAGACTCAAATTTTGAATTTTGGTGACATCATGTGAAAACCGAGAATTAAGGTTCTTATAATGTTTCTTAATTTATTAAGAAAGAAAGCTTTGGTTGCTGGAAGAATTGTTCACAGGAACCTTTTGAGGCTTAACTTGGAAAAATGCAAGTTCTTTATATTATTATTATTATTATTAGAATTTATGCCATTTTTGTACTGAAAAAGTCTCTGAAAAAGGGAGAGAAAGAGAGGAGTCAGCACTACGTATACAGTGTAGCATAAGCAAGGGTAAATGTTTTACAGATTTGATTGTGTATTTTGTCTTAGGTCAAACAGATTCACAGACACCAAGAGCACCTGCATGGAGGCTCATACCTGCTGCCATAGAAATGGCTGTGGAGGGAAGGAATAAAACTTTGTATTGTCTTGCAGTGGGAAGGTTAGTGCTTAATATTATTTTGGATGAACAATTTTGATACTGAATTCTTTTCATTTAAGTCAATATCAGTGGTAGTACTGAATATTGGATGGGTTTGTGTTCAGAAAAATTAGGGATCCAATTTTTTGGGGGTTAACCCTGGAGGCTCGATCTCAATGCAAATACATTCCTTAAACAGCCAACTTCTTCTTACACCCATTCATTAAAATTTGGTATCTGGTCATTATCTCGTTACTTACAGACCTGCGCCAACGATAACTTGGAAAATGCAGGACAAAAGTGGAAACTGGCAAAACCTTGTACATGGACAAGATAGTTTTGAGATTGCTACTGCTTTCCAAGGAAGACTGCTTAACATTATATCCGTTAACAAGAGCATGCATGAGACCAATTACCGTTGTGAGGCTGAGAATTCTCAAAGTGGGGGAAACCCCTTGGTCCATGATATACAGCTGAATGTTGAAGGTAAATGTCTTTAGTGTCGTCTCAATCTCATGCACCGATCCTTTCAATGATCAAATTAAGCACGTCAATCTTACTGTCACACTAAATCACCGCCTGGTTAGCTTAGTTGGGAGAGTGCTGGTCTGCCGAGTGGTGAGTCATTGGTTCAAACTCTGGCTGGACCAACACTCAGGGTCTTTAAATAACTGAGATGAAAGTGCTACCTTTGTAATGACCTCTGCAAACGGTTTTTTTTTTTCTAGGCCTCTTGGATAAGGATGAAAAACAGTATGTTCCATCTCAAAGCACTTTCACTTATCCAGTTCTTTTTTTAGCGTGATGTAAAACCAGAATCCACACCACTGTTCGAAAAGAGTAGGGGACGTAGAACCCAGTGGTGTGGCAAAGCTTTCCTGGGGTGGGTTGGTGTCTGTAAGGACTGATCTTAATAATACACTGTAGGGATGTCATAATAATGTACAATATTTATAGAGCGCTAATTCCCAATGGTCCAAATTGGTACCTTAACAGCAGTGATTTTGTTACCTCTGCGTCCTGCATCCCTGATGCATAAAAATCCCCAAAGACATATTTTTCCTTGAAAGGTCCTTAAATTTCTGTGCAAATCCTTGAAAAGTCATTGAATTGTCTTTAACTTTAACCTTAGTGGCCCGGAAAGTGTTTTTTGACGCTTTTTGGTTGTCTAAGACAATATAAAACATCGCTCAGAGAATTTAAAGGTCATTTACATAAAGCAGTCTTTGTTTTACGCACTAATTAACTATCAAATTAAGACAAGTGAACTGAAAAATGTAGACAAGTTGGTAAAGCAAACAGTTCAAGCCTTGAACTCTTGTTCGAACAGACTGGGTATGTGCCTGTTTGTACAATCTGTGAACGTATATATTCCTGGTCCTTGAAATCGAATGTGGACCTTAAGAAGTCTTTTTAAAGTCCTTGAAAAATGGTTGCAATGTTTTGTATGAACCTTGTAACATGCAGACATTTTTATTTTGACTGGGGCATAATTATTTTAAAGAAACGTCAGTTGGTGGTGATACAGTGCAACTGATTATTTGATTGATTCGCTTTGCAGTTGCTCCAAAGTTTATAGCATGGCCTCCGCAACAAGTTAAAATTGATGTTTATGGCAATGGCAGCTTAACATGCGATGTATCTGCAGACCCTTCGCCATCTTTTAAGTGGTACAAGGATGGAAAACAACTCACAACATCAACGTAAGTTTTGTAACAATTGTTTCTCTTAGTACACGCTTTGTGAATTGGTAAATGTAAAGGCCACACCCTGTCTTTATTCTCACACGTTGTTATGAGTGCTAACTTTTTATTTTTTCTAGATTTCATTTGAAGAGTCAGGGAAAAATTTAGAGCTCTCAAGAATCATTTGAATGCATAAGAATATCATGTAATTTAATACTCTACACATCCTAGTTGAACTAAACGTTTTGCACTGGAAAGTTATAATTCAGTCTAGGTTGCATTTGGAAGTTATTTGTATGACGTTCATAACTTGAATATAAAGAGATAAAAATAATAATACATTGTGTGAAGGCATGAAAAAAAAATGTTTTCTCCTGCACCAAAAAGCTGAAGAAAATGTGAAGTGCAAGGAGAAAGCAAATTATTTAGAGGTCAACGGTCAAATTGGGAAAGGTTCTACTACTGTTGTTGTTTTTGTTGTCCAAGTTGGTAGCAATCCCAAGAAAGAAGCTAAAAAGTCCCAGGAGGCGTGATGACAAGTATATTTGCACTCATCAGAAAACTCAATTTAAACTTGACATAATCTGCGAAAACGACCGTTTCTCCTCGATTTTCGCCGCTGAGGACGTTTCGCGAGGAATAACGTCTGCGACTCAGCCACAGAAATTCCGTACTGATGACGTAAAATTGTTTACGAATGACAGGCAAAAGACAAAAGGCAATACAAAAGGCCACGAAGGTCAAATGTAAACGCGATGAATCTCTAACAAAACAGTCAAAACTGGTGGAACATATTCTTCCCTAGAAGAAGCTTTTGAGTTTTGCTGGAGCTCGTTCGCAGATGAACACCACACTTTAGTAAAATCGACCAGGAGAAACGTAAAATTGAACAAATTTGGTCGGGGAACCCCATGACTACCGGATATATTATGTAAACATTGATTTACGTCATCAGTATGGAATTTCTGTCGCTGAGTCGCAGACGTTCCTCCACGCGAAGCGTTCCTAGCGGCGAAGAGCGATGAGAAACGGCTGTTTTCGCAGGCTAAACTTGGCAGTGTTACACATAAACCTCTCCTCCCTTGCCCCTCTTTTATTGCTAGTCGCAGGTACGGTTTCAGTACGTTACTTACCACGGAAATAGAGGATATTACATGGCCGCGCGGAGATACGAAATTTCTCTTCGAGTGTTGAATTATTTCGCGAGTGAGCGCAGCGAACAAGTGAAATATTTTTCAGCACGAGAAGAGAAATTTCGTATCTGCAAGCGGCCATAAACACCCAACCTTTTTCACTTTATTAGTTTTTGCTGTGAAAGGCGCGATTTATTACTTGTTATTTTCACACGTGAAGGTATCATGTTTTCGCGCGAAAGCTCACTTGGTATTTTATTGGTGTTTATACAATAAAATGTTGTATTTCACAGTGTGCATGTAATATTCAGTGGCAACAAGTTGGTTTTTAAGAATGTAAGGAAACCGAATGAAACTGGAATTTATCAATGTGTGGCGGAGAATCAACATGGAATGATCGTGTCTTCCACGTATGTCAAAGTTCGAGGTAAACACTTGGAAAATTGCATAAATAGTAAAATTTCCACTCTAATACTGGCGTGTTAGATAAGGAAAACTTAACATTGCAACTTTTGTATAAGACGAGGAATACTAAACTTTGCTTGGATGCAGGGAAAACAAACAAACAAACCGCAAACAAAAAAGGTTGAGATCACCGCACAAACTTATGTAATAAACACTGCCTTTTGCGCGTTTTGAGTCTGCTAGTATTTTCCTGAAGGGTAAAATTTCTCACACGCGAATTTTTCTTTTAGCAGCCATAAAACCATCTTTCGCGGAGTCCGGATTTGGTCCATTCTACTTGTTCAAAGGCACTGAAGGACGATTGAAGTGTAATCCAGAGGCAGCTCCACGGCCAACTAAAGACCAATATAAATGGTATAAAGGAACCACTCTACTGACGTCATCATCACCCTACAGAATAGAGTATGGGGAATACAGTACATTGATAGTCGACAACGTTGACAAGGATCGAGACGAGGGTCTTTACAAATGTTTTGCAGAGAACTTCTTGGGCAACGATGAGGCAACAGGAACAGCTACAGTTCTTGGTGAGAATGTCATGATGTATCGTTTCGATACAAAGTCGTTTCGATACAAGTCGTTTCGCGAATATAAACTCAAACAGTGAAACTGGACTAAAATTTTGTTCACTTCAAGTATAGTTTGCGAGCGAACAAGAAAAACATCATGGGTGAATACCTTCTTTCTTTACTCCAAGTACGTGGAACTATTTACTCCTCGAATAAATAAACTTGTATCGAAACGACCCTTATAAAACCTCCTTAAATAAGGGAGCTGTAGGCTATGAACACACTGTACCGAGGAGCTTTTCCGCTGCCACGAAAATAATACCGGATATCGATAGGGTTTCTGTTCACACATACATGAAGAACGGTGATCGGGTCACGATTTCTGTAACGGTACGAAGCTGCGCTGCGCTGATCTCAAAAGTGGAGCGTCACGTGTCACATATCGGATAGGTTTTGTGCCACAATTTATTGCAGTGTGAACAGTACATTCGGGCCGTAGCGGAAATGAATAAGTAGGAAACTGCAAAGAGGACTGGAACCCACTGAGACGGAAGTGAATATTCAGGAGTGGGGACTAGGATTAAAAGCCAAAGCCTCTGGGCCAACCGCCCGCTCC